GAAGTCTGGCTGCTCATCGCCTCTTCAACTCCCAGACTTCTCACGTCTGGAGTGAAATAAGGACACATTTGCTTCCTCCTACGCAGAATCCATCAAGTTTGGGGTTTTTTTCTCAAGTAGCAATTAATTAATTGCATAATTAATCTGGAGAAAGGTCAAGTGTAGACCTCTCAGGTTAGATCTCCAGACGCCGTGTTTGACAGGGGATAGAAATCGGAGCGATGTTGGACAAAATCCTAGCAATGTTTTCACAAGTTTGAGCTTTGCTTCACACCAGATACTCTGCAGTGTGGTCGTTCACCTGAGCGGAATGGAAAGTAGAAGAATAGAAATTACATAAAGTGGAAGTAGAGGTTAGGTCCACTTGAAAAATACCATAATTAGGTTTTATACTCATGAGAGCCATAGATATAGATATGTAGAGATATCTATGTATGTATTTGTAGACATATCTATGTATATACACTTACAGAGATACAAATATATATTTCTATGTTTAGAAAGGATACTTTGCTGACGCTTAAATTAAAAATGTATCCCTGTGCTGCTTTACTCATTGACTGTGATTTCTGCTGGCGAGGGAAGCCTTTCTTAGCCACCAAGGTAAAACGTGTGTATCTGTCTGCCCCCTATGGTGGGAGTAGAGTTTCCAACAAAACATTGCCTGGAATGAACTCAGGCCTTAGAAAGTCCCATGTATCAGGCTGCTCCTTCGGGCTAAGCTGGTGGTAGCCTGTTTTTATCTGTGTGATATTTTTAATATTACATTAACAGTTTTAATTCTGATTCTGCAGTTAAAACCATGTGGGAATGACTGTGTAATGGGATTTCTTGAATCTGTAGTTTGGTCTTTGGGATTTCTCCTAATATTTAAGTCCTTGGGGTGTCAGTTCTGGATATTGATTTAAACAAACCAAAACAATGGGACAACTTCCCTTTTTTTGGGAACTGCTGACAGTTATTAACGTGTGTCGCTGTGGGCACTGCAGTGTACTGACCCTGACAGCCTGGCTGAGAGTCTGAAACTGTTACAGGTCTCCAATGAAACAAAAGGAATTGGCTTTTAGCCACAAAGGTTGTAAAGACTTTTCTGTTACTTTTCTGAAAATGCAGCTTAAAATATTTCACAGATTAGTAGAACAAAAGGAAGATCACAGTTATATTCTGGGTTAGGTTCCCTGGGATTTGTGTAGTTGAGTTTGAGTGGCCCCAGTTTGACAGTTGTGTTTGTTCCAAACTCCACCTGGAGAGATGTACTTGTCCTGAAGCTGCTTTTACGGCCTCATTAACGTATTTCTCATCACTCCGGAGTGGGATAGCCTCTGCTTTATGATCACAGTTTGTTCCTCCTTTATCTTTTGTTAATTTATTATTTAATTCCTGTAATGGTACCTGGGAGAGGGGGGTGGATCGTTCCTGAGCTCAGTGCAGTGCTTCACGTCCTGTGTTCGGGTTGTACCTTTTTGAGTTGTCAGAACATTGCAGTACTTGAAAAATGGTATTTGAAGTTACAAAAGATGGCAAGATTGGATTCAGTTCTTCCCAGCTACCAGTGTCGTTGCATGTCCCTTTTCAAATATTAGTTGTTTAGAAAAATTATTATCAGAAAGTATCAATTATTGATACCTTTGATCTCTATCATATGAGCTGTATTTGCAGGGCAGTTGAGAATGGAATATTATTTTATTGCTTCAAAACTATAGTTAAAAACATATTTAATTACACAGTTTTTTATATATGCAGTATGTAATTTTAATATTTGAATGGTCTCCAATGAATGGCAATGAATGAAGTAGGAAGGCGTAGTTCAAGTACTTTGATTCTTGTAATCATATGTTTTTGTGTATGACCACTGTCAGTTCAAGACTTTACCTTAAGTAAAAGACAATGAATAATTTATTTTATACTTCAGAGTTGGTAAAGGGATATAAAGCTGGACCACCCCAGTTATTTAATATTTTATTTATTAGTTGTTGGGTTGGTTTGTCTGCTAACCTACCTTTACCATAATAAACTTTGCTCATTGGATTTTATCATAGTCATCATCATGACATGTAATGGTCATCATTGTGGTTTTTAATTTATTTTTCAAAATAATACTTTAAATAGTAATTCAGGAGCTCATTGATGGAGTAGGGCAGGGCATGGAAGAGCTTATGGTTCACATCTGCATTTGGACCACGGGCTCACGCTGTCACCCAGCATCATTCATGTCTCCCATCGATCCTTCCCAGTAGTTCATTTCATACTGGTCCACAACCACCTGTAGTAAGTTATGGTTGCTTTCAGGTTTGTGCTAATCCAAATATGTGATGAATGAAACCCTATTCTATCCCCACTCAAAGAAATTCAAGGGAAATAGGAGTGCATGGTTAAATAATTTCTGAATTCATATTTTAAAAATGTTCAAGTCTCCATGCTCACAACATTTTTTCCCCGTGTGTGATTACCAAACCCATTTTTTTTCCAGAAAATTTTGCATTAACCTAATTATTTAAAGCTTTGTATAGGTTGTCCCCCAGCAGGCAGTATTGTGTTAATCATTGTGTTCTCTTGCGTTGCAGGGGGTTCAGGACCATCGTCATCGATAGCCATAGCTGGCACCAGCCAACCTGCCATCACCAAGACAACGTCTGTGCTTCAGGATGGCGTTATCGTCACTACCGCAGCTGGGAACCCGCTCCAGAGCCAGCTGCCCCTCGGGAGCGACTTCCCTTTCGCTGGCCACGAACACTCGCTTCATTTTCCGCAGAACAGCTCTTCAAACAACAATCTTCCACACTCTTTGAATCAAAACCTCCTCAATTCTCTACCTATCTCTTTGCCAGTGAATCAGCAGCATCTCCTAAACCAGAATCTATTAAATATCCTACAGCCTTCAG